CAACGCAGGTGTCTAAGTCGGCCGGAGACTATGGACACCGAACAGTTGGCTCCCTGTCACCCTGAACCCTGCGGGCCCATTTCCTAAGCAGGAGCAGGGTGGGGGCCACGATCGGCATTGGTCGGGGTCGCTGAAGCAATGGTTAGGGTCCCTGCGTCGGTCGGGGGCCGCATTGCCTACCAGGGGGTCATGCGTCGGCTAGTGGCCCCTAGTCTTTCACGGACTTTGAGGAGTTCCGAAGATGGGCTGAAGGGTCCTTCGGGACCAAAGATCAAGGGATCAATTGGATGGCTGAAGGGTCTGAACGACCGACTGTAGGTCACACTAAGGACCCCGCTCGTAGGGCCGTCGTCTCAAGTGACGATTGCTTCTTTTCAGTGAGCGTTTCTCTATTTTGGTCAGGATTACCAGCACCAGACAGTTGACTCCAGGTCGGAGCCCTGGGGGAAGGGGCGTTCTCCAAGCTGCGACAAAGCCGGGCCGCGATTTACATTGCATTTCCTGCAACAGTGCAGGGCCCCTGTATCGGTCAGGGGCGCAAAGTGCCTAACAAGGTGCGGTCTGTGTCGATAAGATTACTCGAGTCTGTCGGAAAACATTCGCTGAACAAGGATGACGACGGAAATCCGGATGACAGACGACCTCTCGCGTTGGTCCTCCGAAAATGCGATGAAACCTGAGAACTTATGAGTGTTCATGTTGAGACAATAGAAGGGTTCCGTGTTAGCCAGGGCCCCAGTATCGAAGGGTGGGTCCTTCAATCCACTTCCAGCACTGGAATCTATGTGACAACTATTGGATCACATGCTGCAACCAGGGATGTTGTTGTGTCAATGGAGGTTCCTGTGTCGATCCGGGGCCAACCGCGTGGGTCAGCGAGCCTGCCCCGTCAGGGAGGGGAACAACATGCCCGGACAATGCGCTCAATGAAATGTACGCGGACTACGCTCTGTGTGTAAGATTTGATATCATAAAGCGTGTAATGGTACTTCTTCCAGAAGTGTTTTCATTTTTGTCCGCCCGTCAACCACGGCCCAATAACAGGCTCCGAACCAACCCCGTGTGGCCCCTGGAGACTGCAACGCCTGGCGTCGAGGTCTTTGTTAAGATTTACTAACACACATGTTCAAAACTATGTTACATGATTTGTAGCATTAATCAGTTCTGAATGAGTGTTCGACATTTCCCTCCAAACATGACTTGGCTATGTTAAAACAAATTGTTGATCCATTTCGATTCAAAATCTGCATTGGGGGGTCCTTAACATGTCTGTAACTCAGACAGAATTTCTGACAAAGCTGAGTTCTATCGAATTAGAAAGAGCTCACTGGACCATCACTAAATGAACAGTGCCGGCGATATATTTCATGCAGTCGCTTGAAACAGTTGCATATGTTTAAAGCCGTTCGCCAGTTTATTAACTACAAAACTCGGGCAGAATTTATCTCGCAGTAGCTTTTGGCTTCTATTCCAGTTATAAGTGGTAAAAATGAAAGATAAATCTTGCTTGATTAAGAAACGGGCCACTTAAGGCGGTTGTTTTGGGGAGAGACTTTCACTATCAAGTGATATTTTGTCTACTCTGTGCCCCCCCCCCCTTGCCAAAGTTTTGGCTGCGCGTCTGGCCATGCCTGCCCCTCTGCACGAGAAACACGTCATTCCCGCCGCCGATGCCGCCTGTGGCTGTGCTCGGTGGCTTTATTTCGTCGAGTAGCGCGCCCAACCGTTGTGTTGTTGCTGCTGTTTACTGGAGATTTCGGGTGCGCTGACTGCAGTGTCAATTGTCCAAGATGGCCATCACGCTGAGACTTCTGTGCCGACGCGCCGGGCGAGCTGACCCTGCCGGCTGTGGACATGATCGGGCTGGCCCGCTATGTTGTTTTTTGGTGTCCTGGTAGGGCTCATCTACGCTGATAAAATACAAATGAATGTGAGCCATTGCTGGCCGAAGCGAACTGACATCATCTTGAAACTGTAGTACTTTTCGCTGTTTCCACGCCAGTCATTCCGTGCCTCTGTTATATTTTCCGCTTGTAAGTACAGTTGAACAAATTTTGGTGTTGGATGGGTGGTACCGCGTTCGAATAAAATAACGCGTGAAAATAGTGATGTCGAGCAATCAATTAAATGCCAGAGCTGGAGGATTTTTTGCTAGCTGCTCCATTTTAACCTCATATGCAGTTGCATACGTGCTGATACGGTCCGCGTGTTCGTGACAGCACCACTCCACTGCAGTGGACTCCAGTGCACTGGAGTAAGAGCAGATGCAGATTCACCGGCTCGTACCGCGTTTTGATAAGTAGCGCTTGTTACATGATATTTTGCAGCCCCACAGCAATCCAGCAAGAGCGTTTATTAAGACAAAATGGCGCTGCCATGCCCACGTTGGCCTCACCTTGGGTTACAACTTTGTATATTATGACGGCACTCGTCAGGGGTACAGTTTCGCCAAACAATATGAGTTGCAATAGAGCAGATGAAAAACTAAAACTATCCACAGATGTACGTCATCTTATTGATTCTTCCGGATTTCACCCAATTTTCGCTACAAAGCTGGGACGTGGGGTGAGGGGAAGATAAAAAGGAAGTGAGGTCCACTGCTGCCTGTTGCACTAGCTGGGCTAATATTTGATACAATGGTAAGCTCAAGATGAATAGCGTTCCCTGGTGACTGTTCTAAGGTCACACTATTCCATCTGTGTAAAAATGACTTTTAGCTGAATTGTCAGTTTAAGATCTTAGTATTCCATGGAAAACTCCTCCTATGGCGTAAGTAAGCCTTGGCTCGAACCAAAGAGACAGTGCTGTCAGTTGCAGCCTTCAGCTATGCAGGGAGTCTTCACAGCCTCACAAGTAGAGTGGGAAAAGCCGGGCTACTTGTGCATGGAGTACGGTAACAGTCAAAACTCATGGGCTGTGAAGCTGTCGACAGTGCCATTGCCATTCGGATCCAACCTTGGAGCAGTTAGTCACCAAAGGAGGGACTAATAGGACCTAGGATTAACTTCAGCAGTGGAAAAATTAGCCAGTTGACGCTTGATGCCGAAATGTATCTAAAAGAACCATAAGCGTGTAACTCAGAAGCTGTAGGGTATTACCTTGGCGCATCAAATAATCTTCAAGATACTATTTCCAGCTGATTTTAATATAAGCCTCAAGATACTATTTCCAGACTATTACCAGATGTAACGAAATAACCTCACCCTATAAGTACTAGTGTATTTTTAACGTGAAAAGGCTGCTCCGTACAGCCTAATCTCTCTATTCAGTAGATACGCTCCTCAATACGACATTGTTTGATGTCATCATAGCCTGCACAACATTGATTGGGGGCCTCCTGACATCAGGTATATCTGGAAAGCGTGCTCACAAACGCCAAATATGAACGAGTTGACCATTATGTTTTCATTAGCCTTGGTTGCCGCATGACCAATGGAATGGCGGGATTTTAATGATATTGCTATGACGTGATGAATGTCTGGGCAACGTTGAAAAAGCCCGCACGAGATAGTTTGCTCCTTGGTGGGCGTTTAGGTAAAAAAAAACTACAGGGGCTGGACCTAACCTAGGACAGGGCTTTTAGCTGCACCACATTATCTTCAAGGTGGCTATTCCAGTACAAAACTCTACGCAAATGTGGAGCAATCAGCTTAAGCGGAGGAGGAATTACAAGTGTTATCCTCGGCATGTGTAGTAAACGCGGTCGTTATCTACTAGGCCTGCCTCATCACCGCTCAGGAACAGGGTCTGAATCTGACGCGTCAACGATTCAAACCCTCGTAACACCAAAGCTATGCTAAGCTGTGGGGCAAAACATTGGAATGCACGCACTTAGTGTTTAAAATGAGCAAAATACATTGCAACAAGACCACGCTTGCGTGATAATTACAAACGATACGTTCCTACATCAGTTCATCTTTGTCACTCACAGGATACGATGTACTCTTTGTCATGCCCTTCATAGGTATAGGGCGCTGCAGCTGAGGTGCACATTGGTAACCGAAGCGCTGGTCTTCCATGCTTAAGAAAGGTCGCACTCAAGACTGGGTAGACGGAGGACTGCTGAGAGATCAACAACCGTTCCCAGATGACAGCCTGCACCTCCGTATTATTTGACTGGGTAGACGGAGGACTGCTGAGAGGTCAACAACTGTTCCCAGATGACAGCCTGCACCTCCGTATTATTTGACTTTGCTTTGCACTGGGATAACCAGGAGGCAATGGTGTAACTGATAAGGGGAGGGCAGTGCTCACAAGGCTTTACCGCTTTCACGTCAGTATTAGATGTTTTCTTCACCACGATGCCACTGAATACCATTTAGGAATTTAGGGAACTATTTTGGTTTTAAATCTCACAGATACTGCCGTGGACAGCGAAATGTAGATCCCAACAGCTGCAACTTAGTAACAAGAGAAGCGAGCGACCATGCGCGATACGCGGTTGAATGAACTGATTATGGCACCAGGGTAACCAACATCGATAGCTCGCTGATACTCTATTCATAGTACCCATTGGCGTCTGTGAGGTCTGTTCGTCTGTTCGTCTGTCAGGGCGTTTGGCTGGACCGCGCAGGAAACAATGATCCTGTTGTCGCAAACTAGCTGCGCTCTGCCAAGAGGCAGAGGGTGGTAGTGGTGGTGGGAAGAGGGGGAGGGGGCTGTTGCTGCTCCCGGCGTCATCTCTGTGAACGGGGGAGGGCCGCAGCCTCCACGGTCTCCATTACCAAGCATGTGCCTTCCCACGCGGGGAGCGCGCGGCCTCGCCCTCTCGGGCGCGCGACTCGAGGCCTCTGCCGCGGCCCGCCCCGTTCAAGGAGGGATCAGCTGGCAGCCGCCCGCGCAGGCGCTTCGCGACGTGGTGCAAGCGCCGGGCGCCGGCCAATGGACGTCGCCAAGCCGTGGCCGTGTGCCCATCGACCGCAGTCTGGGGCGGGGAGGGGGAGGGATAGCCGGCGGCACGCATGTCACGATAAGTCACCCGCCCACCGAGCACGCTCAGCACGCCGACGCCGTCAGTCGGCGGGAGGGTGCCGGAGAGGGGAGGTGGGCGCCAGCACTCCGGCCGGTAGGTAAGTTGCCGCTTGGTGCGGACCGTGCCAACGTCGGGATTGTGTGACTGTGCGGGAGTCAGAGCTGCGCCGAGGGATGCTGCTGCAGTGTCGGGGGGGGGGGGGGGGGGGCAGTGTACAAAAAACCGTGCCACTTCCACTTGATGACCAGCTACAACGATGTCCTGAACCTGGCGCAAGTGCGCGTAGAGCTCGGATCATGCTGATTTGCGCTGAATTGTAGCTGTATGTAAGGTGCGCCAAAATATGCGGAGCATTTTTTTGGCACGGTCTGGGATATTTCCACGTGCTCTGAAGATCAGTGCTTGCGCCTGCATTATCGGGCGAACGCGAGTTCTCAGGTTCTCGGGCCGAGGCCATCGGTCGAAGGTCAAAAAAGGATAGCCCGTCTCCCTCAAAATACAAATGGTCTGATCTTTGTCTTCAACCGTCGCCCTGATTGGCCGCTTTTTATGGTGCGGACTGATAAAGAGTAGGGGGATGATGCGATCCCCACCCCGTGGCGTTTTCAGACAAAGGGAGATAGAGCTAAGTGAAAAACACTAATGGATTTGCCTCAGCGAGATTTCGTGATCTGCACTAGCTCTCGTGCTGTTAGTTGATTAGTGGACCCCGTCATGGCAGGTTAAATGTTGAATTTTTTCCAGAAAATTACACTTCCAGCATTGCATCACGAGACTGTGTCGTGTGGAGACACAAACATTGAACAGCGTTGTTCCTTTTTCATTTCGTAGTAGAATGGTGTGTGTTTGTATGTGTTTTGGGATAAAATATGATACATGGTTGTGTCGGTGTAGCAGTGCCGGCCGGCCGCGCGCGTTCTGCGGCATCGCCAGCTGCCGGCCGCCGCCCGCTGGCGGCACCGACACCCGCGGGCGCGGCAGTGACAAAACATTTGGGCGCGACTGCAAAACATGCCAGAAATGTTCTTTAAATATTTAGGTTTATATATATATATATATATATATATATATTATATATAATAATAATTATTAAATAATTAGGAGGTTGGATCCCCTCTATCACGGGGGGGGGGGGGGGATTAGCGTAATTTGCAGCCAGAGAATAGAAGCCAAATCCCGATCGTGTAGGTTGTTGCTTACCGTAGTCAAGTACGTCCTACGCACTATAACCTTTTTGGGAATATAGCTGTATTTCCTTCCGCTCAGGCCCAATCTTATGATATTACCAAACAAAGGAACGGCGTCATCAATTTCTCATTGTTTGTGCCGCTGAAAACGCGGGTATGGCAGTCCCCCATCCTTTGCCTGATGTGCACAATGTTCCAATAGTATATTGATGTGATATGCTTTGGGTATCCATATTGTACAAAAAAGCTTACCAAAGAGGCACTACCGGCATAAGTCAAGACACCACGTAACCACACATGATATGGCTGGCTTTTCATGGGACATCAATTCAATATACCTCGTGGAAATTACTTTCAAGCAATAAACCAGCCCACAAACTATGGCAAAGATGTCAGCCAGATAATAACCCTGAAGACATCCTGAGTCCTGTATCAAATGGGTACGTCCTAATTTTGGGTTCTGCTTTGCCCAGCATGTTTCAGCATATGATGTATCTCAAAATTTGGTCCACTTGGAACACATCCACCAAATTTCCCAATGCCTGGACACAACATTATTGCTGCAGTTGGGTTCCTCAGATCACTTTTCAGGGCATTTTTTCAAGGACATTTCCAAATGCGCACACTTGAATATATCAGACATATGTTCAAAGCCATTTTGATTTGAAACAGTTCTAGGTTTCTGGCATTAGCTTTTCCAAATTGGCAGAGCGTGGCAAAGATGTCGATGGGATGTCTGGGCCAGCCAGAATCTTGCTCCAAGGGCAGCACTCTCTTGATTTATTTGTGGTACTATTTGTCATGCAAGGGTTTTAAAAAAATGGCAATATTACTGGACTTCACTTTTCCTTCATATGCCAAGTCTATCCCCAAAAATACTGAAACCAATCCCTCGAGGAAATTTGCTCAGGTGATCTCCAAAACAAAATATCGTCAAAACTGGCCGATTTGCAGTGCCTTTTCGGAAGAAAAGTATACGAGTTTCACAATCATGTGGTACCGATGCTGAGGCCTGATGTTGACATTTTACTGTCAAGTGTTGGCTGCAGTGAAGTGAACGTCTTCATATAGTGGCCGAACAAATGTTCAGAATATAGGTATTCAGTATTCTACCGCATTCAAAGCTATACGCACCCCACATATTGTTGACCAGGCAGTTGTGCACGTGATGCCATTTTTTCTGTCAGTCATGCTATTAAGTACAAAAATAAAATTATCCACTTTTCTGACACTTCGCTGTGTCTTTAGTGATGTCTTCAAGTCGATACCGGGTTTGGAGTCATAATCTGGACGGCGATGGATGACGATGGCGTGGGATGAGCATGGAAGGGAGCATGGTGCGCTGGATGAAATATTTGCTTAAATCAATCATATATTGCTGCCGGCGAACACTTGATTACTGGCATTGTACCGGCCTCGTCTCTGGACCCCAGCCTTAATCGAATCCGTGCACGTTCTGGACAGGTTCTGACCATCGAGGTGCACACGTGACGTGCAGCACCATGGCGCCAAATGTGAATATTGTGGGCAAAGCGGAAGACGTCGACCCTCCAGTGGACGTGAACAGCGCCCAACTCGCGAGGGCTACAATCAGTGAAGTCACTCTCAAGTAAGCAAAGTTGTGGATATATCTCGCTGAGGCACTACTAATTTACGGTGGCTAGTGTTTCACTGCGGGCAGTCAGACTGTGTGTCAAGAATAAAGGAGATTTTTTGCTGAGAATTGGATCGAATTCCCTAGCATATTTCTGCCAGTGAGGTTTGGATTTGAGTTGCCATATCATCGGTGAGTCAACTCAAATAAAAATGTGAGTAACAGGTCATGTCCTTCGCCGGATGGTCTTTATGCCGTGACATACCAAATGTTTAAGATAATTTGTAACCGTGATTGTATCCGATAAATCTGATAATTATGGTTGTCTGAAGTCATACCGGTTAATGTACCAAACTCTTAGTTTCGTAATCTGCGCCACCTGATGAGATTCCCAAATTCGGTTTTATATCCTTGAGCCGAGATTAAAAATGAACAAAACGTTTCATTGTGCTGTCTGGACTGAACGTCAAGCTCGGTACTAATCGTGCCTCATCATTTATAGCATCAAGTCGTCTCATGTCGCTGATGAGCATGATTTTTGGGGGCGTGAAAATTAGTCGGCAAGTGAAACGGATGAATGGACATTTTCCTCCGAACGCATGTATTGCTAAACAATCTATGGCGTGAGTTGGTCAATCAGCTCTGTTTAATCCCCAGTTATCTGGCATTCTCTGTCGCGAGCCTGTCTGACGTCATGTCACGTTTGACGTCACAGCGAGTCTGTCTGACGTCATGCTACGTTTGATGCCACAGCGAGCCTGCGAGCTCCGAACCGCCGGTGGAGCCGGCGACGTCGAAGCCGGTGTCGGTCACGCAGCTGTTCCGATACGCCGACTGCAAGGACAAGTGCCTGATTACCCTGGGCCTGCTCACCTCGTTGATGGCTTCGTTCGTCATGCCTATCACCATCGTGCTCTTCGGCAACGTCACGAACGACATGGCGATCTTCACCCTCAACATGACGGCCGACGGCAGCGCAGAGTGAGTGCTCGAACCACGTTTGCTCTTTTTCTGTACTCTTGCTGATTGCACTATTATAAACATGTCATTTTAACTGTTTTCTAACATGGTCATATTGTCTGCTAGGAAGCTGAGCAAGTCCATGGACCAGTTCGTGTTTGGGATCATCGGCACGGCTGCGTTTCAGCAGCTGACATCTCTTACTTTTGTGTTCTGCTTGTACTACGCGGCATCGAGGCAGGTGAGATCGTAATGTTGTGTCGGTGGCAGTATGTTGTTTTTCGTTTGTTTTTACGCGTGTTTTAGGGCGCGTTGACTGCAGTGGTCATTTTGCACCCATAGAGCAGCGTGTTGGTTCCCTGCTTGTCGAAGACCTGTCCAAGTTGTGATTTATCGGTACTACTGCTGGAGATCGCGCCTGGGAAACATCACAGCGTTCCAACGCTTCAACAAGTGGGGGATTGTGACGAGTAATTGATAAAAGTAACGATTTATTGATTATATTGCTGTTATAAATTTGTTAATCGATCAATTGAACTGAATTACGCATGGTTTCGTTCGCCAGGCGCCCGATTTTCACGGCTCTTGCTCAGCAAAGACCGACAAGGCAAAACCATGAATTTGGAAGGTATTGCAAATATGGATATACGACATTTTGATTGGCAGGCTCGCCGCGTCAAACAGCTTTTCTTCCGTTCTGCTCTGCGGCAAGACATGTCGTGGTACGACACCAAGCAGATGGGCGATTTCACCACCCGTGTTACGGAGTAAGTTACATTTCAATGTGCACCACTGTGGGTCAGTTGTGTCATGAGTGTCTGTTACTAGCATGGTTAGCGGACTGACTTTTGCAGTGGTTGACTCAGCTTGAGATATTTTACATATCTTTTGGCAGGCTATCAAATTCAGTGCTGCGAGGTGACTGGAGTCTCTGCCTGTTGGGAAAAGTACAAAATATTGTTCAAGGGACTCTTTTTGCTGGGGGCACTACTGTTTGCATGCGACTATTTCTAATCCAGCTACTCAAGCTTTCATGGGCCAGAATTCCGTCGCCGATTTGCAGCTTGACGATATTGTTCGCCAGATAGTGCGGGAAATTGGGTCTGCCCACCGGGTCCTAAATTGGATGGACCCAAGTTAGTGCTGCCACTTAGAGACAGTAGGGCCGCCTGGCGAGGGCTTAACAAGCCCGCGAGCTGTTAGCCGTTATTGCTTACCACATTCTGGGTATTGGTGAGTATTCTTCGTGTGAAATTATCCCCTTTTGTGTTGTTTTTTACCCAATGTCTATACCTGACTGACTAGTCAGCGTTGGTAATAAATGTCAATGGAGAAAAGTATTTATTTACACATGAATGATAAAGTAGGGAAGTTGGTTTTATCACAAAGTGTTTGACCTGTGCAATGCATGATTTTTATTAAGATAACATTCATGATATCTGACGGGTTCAAGCATAGACTACCATGCCTTAATGGCTGTCAAACCTACGGGTGCATCTGGAGAGGGTGAAATTTCGATACAATTGCAAGAACCGCTCCGAAATAATCCCACATTAGTGACAGATACTGTCATGGGCGTTGCTTCACATTGAGTTACTGTGCTCCAGCTGCGGCCCCCAACAATTTAATAACCTAAGCCATGTATCCCTGATCAGCCCACCCCAAGCATATCAAGGGTTTGCAAGACTGCTTGCCTGAATCTTGCACACCATTTGTTAAATAAATCATCAGCCACAAGGAACACATTTCACATGCAAACACTCAATGGCTTGACGGCACGTCTGATGGATGCGCCTATGCAGGACATGTGCAAACAGAAAACACCATGCCGTGCCTGAATTGAATTGAAAGCGTGGTCCGACATTGAAACTCTGATGCGTCTGTGAAATCCAAGGCAGCAAACCAATCCAGTTTTCTGCAGCTCAGACGTCATCTCAAAACTATGCAGCTGCGTATGACAGTGCATTTTGTGATATGCATACACTAATTTGGTATTTAGTAGGAAGGAAAACCGCAGAAGACTTTGATTACCAATCCATTCCATCGACCCAAGCAAACTTTCAAAATAAAAGCATCGAAGGACGAAATCGGCTCAAAAGGTTGGTCAGCAACTGTTGATGGCCCGTGGATGCGGGACATTGCCTTTAGGTCGCGTATGGACGAGCTCGAATTGTCGCGCCACGTTTCAATGGTCATCAGCTGTCCGGAGGCAATATATGGGATTCGGGTCATTTATGGCCCAATCATCTTTCACCTAATACTACGCTTACCTTCTGTTATCTGCCATGTGACACGACGGTGCCGAGGCCAGTCGGCGTAAGACATGATGGGTTCACCGGTATTGAAAACACTTGGAGTATGCATCCTACATTAAAAGAACAATCTTGTAGTTAAACTCAAAGCCTCGTTACTGGGTGCAGGTAAGCAAAATCAGCTATCATTCAGATAGCCGCTGCTCTCTATGGAACTGGAAATGGCGTCATTGTGGTGCCTGATGACCATGGACTGTGCTCTGGATCTTCGCTCCACTGCATGTGTTTATGTGAGAGGCTATCCATCTTTCGCCCTGTATGCCAGTGTTTCTTTGGAAATTGAAAACTTGGCTATTTTCAAGTACCTTCTAACTTTGGCCTTGTATGGCCAAATTGTGGTTACAGAAGGCATGCACGTAAATGTAAAGTCGGTGTTGTTTTTTCATTCTTATCCTGGGTTAAGTTGTCTCATTTCTTGCCTTTCAATGTGCATCTTGTTGGTTTCTTTTGAAGAGCATGCTGAAGGGCCAAGAGGACTTTGTGTTGGACAGAGATGATTTATACCTGAAACCAACGGCATTGCATGTGTTGATTTTTCAGTAATCTCTTCAAAATGAGACCTAGTTCCAGATCTCGAGGTGAATGCAATTTAGCAGGTTCACTCAGCGTTACTTTGAGAGAAGCAGGTGTAGAGATAACTGTTCGTGTATATGGGGATTATTGTGATGCCCCTTATATTATGATCAAGCTAAGTATGCTTACCTGTATTTGTTATAAAGCCCCTTGATACCAGCCATGACGAAAACATAAAAGATGTGATGGATATGCTCCAGGTTTCTCACAGCTTCGTCTTTTAGGACAAAGGGTGTATATGCTTGGGTATGTGTAACTTGAATGAAAAATAAGGTTGCGAGCTCACGCGGACTTTTTGGAGGACACGTGCCCTGCAGGGCGGGTGCTAGTTTTCAAATTTGGCTGCGGGGCGGTGTGGGCATTCCAAATTTTATTTTAAAAAAATGCTAGCTTAAACCCAAGTGTTCCCAGTGGATGGACCTAAGATTTCCGCATTATTAGGCTAACGATATCGTCAAGCTGCAAAGCGGTCGGGCAGTTCTGGTACATAAAAGGTGGAGTAGCTGAATAAAGAAGAAAAATGAATAACACCAAAGCCGAGGATGTAAATATGTAAACATGAGGACCTAATGATAGCGGATTCAGCACACATGCAACGCCGCCACTCGCATCTCTCGGGGGATTGAACAACTACTGATGAGTGCTGTCATGCAAACGCTCCACGACTCAGGCAAGCAGTGACATATTGATGAGTATATTTAACAAATAGAGAAATGCGTGTCGTTTGGAGCGGTCCTTTTTACACAAAACTATTACATTTTACTATTACACAAAACTATAGCAAGAGTTATAAGTAAGCTGCTTTCATCATATGGTGCTTGCTTCAATACCTTCAAATGGCGAACCATTCCCTTTTCGACCTTCTGCGTCGCTCGTTATTAAATGGAATGTCCTGAATCTAGACGTATTCAGGCAAGCATTAGGTATGATAAAGTAAGATCACTCGTCACTTCAAGCATGTGTCAAAGTGCAAAATCTGCTCTTTGAGACAAAATTTCCCGATTTATGAGATATGCTCTTTCATGCGTCATCGTTTAATTGCGGCATTGAACTTGTGTGTGACATCCGAGACGCCGCCAGACTGGTTGTGCATAAGTGCAACCGTAGCGGACTGGCTGACACACTTGCAGTGTTTCAATTTGTCGAGAGGCGGCGTGTCAATCAGCGCGTGTCTCGTGTCAATCGGTGCATGTTTGCAGAACCCAAATATCGCTCTGCACGCTTTGTCGCGTGGCCGCTTCTCGTGGGCCTCTGGTGTATCTGTTCATGATTTTAGATTTTTCGCTTGTATTTACTTAGTCGGTACGGCGCCCTCTTAAGTTATTTGATTCCCATCTCATGCGTGTCATCACTAGTACCAATGGCCATATTCCTGTAATTCCTGAATTCCTGTTTTTAGAAAGGGCATGGCTATGAACTGCCCTGAATAATATTCAAAGTGGCCATCTCAGCTCAGAACTTCATGCAAATGTGTAACACTCCCTTTAGAGTATTCTCGCTAGCAGTCACATTGCTAGCAGTGACCTCACTAACAGTAACGTGTCCGAAGACCTCAGGTAAGACCCACGCCTCAGCTTTTCATTTCGCTCGAGTTAATTCCACCAGTCGCAGTCGCACTGTGAGGTCTTTGCGTAACAGCTATAATGTGCTCCCTTTGCAGCGACCTGAAGAAATTTGAGGACGGAATCGGAGAGAAGATTGGAATCATGATGACCTTCATCATGCTCTTCCTTCTTGGCATGGGGCTGGCATTCTACAACGGCTGGAAACTGACCTTAGTGATATCATCTTTTATTCCGTTGATGGTCATCACTGGAGGATTCATTGCCAAGGTAACTTTTTATTTGCTTGTTTTAACAGCTGTGTCTCCACTATGTTCTGAACTGTTCACTGTACGGCATGCATGGTAGAAAATCCGTTTGCGCGTACTTCTTATGCAATTTCAGCGGCAAAATGCAAGTCATCGTAACTAACTTCCACCCGGCAGTTGTAAACGTAGTGTTTTAATTCCGTTTGCATTGCTTTCCTGGTTTCGATATGATCAAGTTATGAGTGCTTTCGCAATATCCCATCTTCATCACTGCTTGGTTGTCCTCTTCGCTCTAGTAGCATCGGACAAAAACGCAATATGGAATCATAATTAAAATGCACGAAAGGAATACAAACAGGGACATAACCATCGGTAATCGCGAGGTATATCCAAAATACCCAGGACATTTTAAACCGGAACCTTTTTTGTTTCATTGTCATGCAGCAATGCCTCATGTCTGTGGATTTCTTCCCGCGGGAGCGGATGATGAAATGCCGTTAAGATAAAATGGCAAATATGTGAACTGATGAAAGCAGCTCTGGAGTAGATTACGGCTATTTCGATAGTCCGGGCAACAACCGGTAGGTGTCCGCCCTGCTTATACTATGTTTCATCCATTTAATCTTTCTTACCACATTAGATATCGGTTTCGTAATGTTAGGCAGAAGACTTAAGACCTGAAATAATTTAAAGCTTCTTTTGGAATTTTTTGTATTATGTTTTACCGATAGGAAACAGTGGTATTTGCAAAGAAGCCGACCGCAAAGTTTTCGTCAGATGTGTGTTAAACGTGGATGATATGAAATATCAAGTTGAACAGTCAAGGAAGGTTGCGTGTGATCGTTACATTGTCAGGGAACCGTTTGCTCGTCGTAAGTGGTAGTTGATTCGATGCAGTTTTGTTGAGATATGGAGCTTTCGCCAAATTTTCCCTCGTTAGAACGAAGAGAGGCGTCTTATTCCGAGAACAGCATGTATCCCCCAGTTTTGCGACTTATGCACCCTGCTTCCGCTGTAACGCCAGTGGCTTAAATATATAATGGGAGTATTATGGAAGATGAGCATCTGCCTTTTCCATGAGATCAGTGTGGGCCCGTTCAAAACGTTGCCGAATTATTACAGGCATGAGGAGGAAGTTCGTGCCAAAATGCTATATGCCAAATGTACCGGTAAATTAAGTAGCAACTTTCTACACATTAGAATGCCACAATATTTCAGTGAATCCAATCTCTTCCGGACGGATTGTTCGTACCTTGTTGTGACAGGTGCCTGCAATGTACTGCAGCGTGAGCTAACAATGCCATGTGCTGACCCTGTTTAGCTCATGGCCGACTTCGCGAAGAAAGAGGCAGATGCGTACAGCAAAGCGGGATCGGTGGCTGAGGAGGTCATAGCTGCAATCCGAACTGTCATGGCCTTCGGCGGCGAACAAAAAGAAGCACAAAGGTCAGTAGCGATTGAGACTTCAGTTCCCTGTAAAAACATGGGGTGGTGTACAGTCCATGGAACAAACCATATAGCGGTAACTAGAAACTGGCCTAGGTGTGCTGCACGCATATATCATTGCAGGCCGAGAGAAGCCCTGCTTGCAACTGTACATGAAAGTGCAAAAAACTACGTGTTTTGGGGGAAAGTGAAATATTTCTCTTCGTGTTGACACATACAAAGCAGTTATAGCTTTTATCAAAATAAGATATATTATTCTACCCGCCTGCCTGTAAGAACAGGTGCCGGTCTGTTTCAATTAAAAACAAGAAATGGGAAGTTGCATTTTTAGCACTACCTTCGCCATGAAAACAGGCCATAACATACGAATGTACGAAAAGTTGTAGAAATTAGACGCCTGAGTCTGCAGCGCTACCTCGAGGCGCTTAGAAGTACCGCAAGTGAGTCACACCGTCCAGCACAGCGAGCATCCTGACGCGGCAAATTTGGTAGTAGCTGTGACGTCATATTAATGTTCCATAACATTATCAAACGATAACGTGATAAGAACCACATTGCCTTGTTAGTAAAATTGTGCTGGTTAGGGCAGGCTTTAGCACTTAAAACCATACCAATAGTTATTTAGAGCTTTGCTTACCACGTATGACGCTTTCATCAATATTTTCAAATGCGGGACAGTCCCTTTAAGAAACACATATGTCTGCTCATATTTACAAACTCCTGAAAAGCCCAGTTTGGCTCATATGTTCGCCAACATCGTTTTCACACGTTTTACACTAACGATGCTGTGCGCAAAGGGTTTGGTAGATCACCAAGGATATCACAAATATATCCAAAATACCTGTTACGTCGTCATTTCAGACTTGCAGTTTATACTGTCAGTTGCACAAATCACTCATCAAAAGAACATGGGCTCACCGACAAACAACCAGCTCTTTCAAGAAACAGTGACGGAAAGGCGATAATATGTTTTATGGCGAAATTTTTGCATGACTTTATGATGGCTGAGATCTGATAATGTACCTTGCTCATACCCGACCTTATAGCAACACATGACTTTACGCTCCCGGCTATTCAACCTAATGATCTATTTCCTAAGAACGTTATAAGTTTGAATGAAGAAGTTGATCAAGTAAGTTGAAGAAAACGAACAGCCTCTTGGGGGCACCAAATTTGCCTGGGCACTCTTGCGATCAACAGAACAAAGCCCAAAGCAATATTTTTTTTCATTAAAGCAAGAGAAAATCGCCAACTTTGTCCAATCTTTAGGCGAAATAGCAGGAAGATACATATGCATCCCGTAGGAAAAAATTCCTCATGCGTACTTTTGTAGTGATCGAGCCAAAGGACAAACACTCAGGTCATCTCATGTTGTTTGTATTTCACCACTGCTAACTGAGCTCGCAGTCGGTCCTTCCACCATGTCTACACATTACATTATGTTCCGTGCTACAAGACAATGGAGCATTAATGCGGTGTCGGCGCCACAGCATGCTATCATCGTCTATTGTAATGGTAATGACGCCCGGCGTTGTCGCTCGTTGCAGGTACTCTGAACGTCTGCAGGGCGCCCGCCAGGCAATGGTGCGGCGCAGCGCCGTCATCGGTCTGGGTGTCGGTATGGTGTGGCTGGTACAGTTCAGTTCTTTCGCGCTGGCCTTCTGGTACGGCACCAAGCTGGTGCTGGAGTCTCGCGAGACGGGCGACGGACTATACACGCCCGGAAATCTCACCATTGTGAGTATGTCAGTGGCACAGCCTGTGTTTGTCATTTGTCATTTGGGCTAGACGTCAGCGATCACAGCCTCAATGTTGTGAGCACCAGGCTGGTCATCTCCCGGTCTCACTATCGTGAGCACTGAGCTTCAAGTTCACCAGAAGCCCTCCAGACATGGGGTGTTCAACCCCCCACCCCCGCCCCCATGTTTCCCAACGCTTCTGGTTTCCGCATCTACTGCCTTTGCCATTGGGCCTTCGGCGAGGTTTGGTCGTGGCTTTCCCGGTGAGGTTAGACCACACCCAGGCACACACCACTGTTTTATGGCCATGTTCGCTGCACACATACCAAGGCGCTTTTCAGCTGGACTGTAAACACTCAACGGTCCATGTGACAAATGACCTATTTATATCAGATCTTTGGAAGCCAGGTGGTCAGCAGGTGCTTACTCAGATTTTCACAGCGAAGATCTGAGCTGTCCGATGGCCAGACGCCTACAAACGGAGCGAGTGTCGCCAGACGCGCACACACGGAGCGAGTGTGGCTAGGCGCCGACACCTGGGGCGAATGTGCCCAAATGCCTACACACGAAGCGATTGGAAGAACTGGAGAAAAAAAACTCTTGGGGTGTTTCTGTGAACGGAAGGAGGGGGGGGGGGGGGGGCGGGGGAGGAGAATTTCAAATCTTAACACGCACCCGGGTGGCCGGCTAGACACCCTTCGTTCGGGTGGAGGGGTCAGTTTGACCCTCCTGAGATCTCGGGAACTAAGAAAGCTAGAGACGTCAAATTCACAGAGTGTGTTGACCTGTTCGTGAACTCACTTAGGTTAAAAGCTTAAGATTTCTAGGTCATGACCTTCGGATCAAATAAAGTCACGAGGTCAAATTCCAGGTTGGTCTCCATAGTGCCTCCAAAACCTAGATAACCGTTTTTAAGCAAAAGGTCACATTCTCATTTAAGGTCAGTGCTTTTGTTTGACCTTTGCAAGGTCATGGTGACCAAAATCACACAGGACTGCTCTGAGTTTTGCATTTGAATAAGCGACAAAGACTACGCTATGCAGCATGTTCCTAAAAAAGTATGTTGACCCGGGTCATTTTAGGGTCAGTGACCTATTTTGACCTCTAAGAAGTGCATGGAAGATGCATAATGCAGATCCTGCTATCGATAAATTCGAAATGGGCACCAAAACTATCTTATACAGCAAGCCCTAGAATGATAAAACAGGTTGGTTTTGACCTTGGTCTGACCTTCATACCTGACCTTAGGTGGACGTAATTCGCTCATTCAATCTTTGTGTTGCCTGAGAGAGCATCTCAGAGATGTATGACTTCGTCTAACACTCCGTTGTTGCATAGGATTGAACGATTCCCTAGAAATTTACTTCGCTGAAATCGTGGCCTGTCTTTGACCTGCCATGCAAAGCGACCTTACACGGTACACCTAATTTTTTAAATCAAAAGATCTGCTTTTCAGTTTTCTACGGCCATGCAAAAGTTGGTGCGGCTACGCCGCGCCGTTCGGTAACTATCCCGGAAAACCTTCGTGGGGGTCAATTTGACCCCCACCCGAGCGGGTGTTAATGCTTTGCATTGGCGATTGTGCCCGCTGCTGACGCTTGGTCGATAGCACCGCAGTGCAAAAGCAGAGCATGAAAGGTCGCTGACGTAGCTCCGTTTCCAAAGCGTATGATCGATTTGGCCCAGGCAGCGGGGCGCTTTCCAGCGTTCAATGTCAATGGCCGCTGCTGGCGCACGGTCGACGACACTGCGTGCGAAAACAGACAGATGAAAGGCCAGCGGTGTAGGTGCGTTCGATACATGAGATCGATGTGGTGGCGGTCTGCATGGTCCGCTCCGAACCATGGGCATGACCTCGTCCGGCACGCCACTTGCATATGTACAAAGCTGGAGAAACAAGCTGGACGACCTGTACAAACTGACCTGTTGCCATTGGAGTTCAATGCGTAAGGCAAGTCCTTACTCTTTTGAGGTTTCAGCCTAACCAGGGACGTACCTAGGGGGAGGGCCAGGAGGGCCTTGTCCTTCCCCATTCCTGGGCCAAGAGGTTAACACCAGATGCAGGGTGATATCCGCAGCAATTTGGAGACAATTTGACATCTGCCCCTCCGCCGAGGAAAACTTTGGCTACGTGCCTGCTTTTAACACACATCATTGTTGATCAAACCACGTCAAAATTACAGGCCGCTAGTTCAACTATGTCCAAATATGCGTTTAAGTCCACACCCTGCCATTAGCCGTCATATACATCATTTGCAGATATTCTTCAGCATCCTGGTTGGAGCGATGACTATTGGACAGGCGGCGCCGCACGCGGAGGCACTGTCGGCGGCACGAGGAGCCGCTGCCACTGTCTACACTGTGATCGGTGAGCCATGCAACGGCTTCTGTGGAAGCTCCCATATGTCGTTGCCACGCCATTAGTCCTCATAGTCGGGTAGGCAGGTAGGCTGAGTGGGGAGGGGGGGGGGAGCAGATGGTAGGGCTCCAACCTTCTGAACCCGTGTGTAACGAACGGGCGGTTGCGTCTCACAAACTACTCGCGCATAAGCCAGCGGCCCGTCTGGCACGCGACGGCCACGTGATGACTCTCCTACACGTTATGTTCATGGGCGAAACGTGTCCGTTTAGTTGAAATCGCGTGCCGTGGTAATGATTGCATGGTGGGGTAAAGTGTGGGTGGGGGCAGGCTGGGGATAACAGCTTCCTCGCAGCTAAGACTGCTTGCGCTTTTCTTTTCAGTTTGTCCTCATAGTTAGTTGGCTCTTACTAGATTATGAGTGCATTAAACCAAACTTGCGTTTGGTATTGGGACAGAAATCGAGATTACATTTATTTCTGTTGCCGTTCCAGGAAATAACACGGTTCGTTACTGGCATAGTTACGTACCTTCGGCAAGTGTGTCCTCTGCGTTCTTCAGAGCTTTATCCGATGTTTCATATGCGGGAAATAAAGTGAATTAAATTTTTACGACAGTTGCTAAACATAAAAATTTACTGGTGATCCAGTGCTACGAATTCTTGTGATGTCATCGGCGCCTGCAATGTCTATAAGCGCTCTCCTCCTTCGACAGAGCGCAAGTCGGAGATTGACCCCAGCAATCAGGATGGCGCAAAGCCTGACAAAGTGACCGGCCTGATCGAGCTGAAGGATGTGCACTTTAACTACCCAAGCCGACCAGACACGCAGGTCAGCAGTATGCATCAAACGTTATTTTTCTGTACGCCGCAAAAACAACCTTTGCTCTCCTTCGTTTTCTATCTCTTGGGACAACCGAAAAGCAGAAACCAGACACCTGTTAGCACTTCGGGAACTGCTCCCCCCCCCCCTTGTTCAAGTTTTCAGATAGAGGGGACCCTGAAGGTTGATGTTGTCAAAGGCTTGCACTTAAGATTGCTCAGCTTCGAAACTTTGAAACTCAAGCGTTCATGATGTTATCCGCTTTTTGGCGATGGAGGACAGTGCTGTGCTAGCACATTGCAGCCAGTGATCTGGCTCATTTGAAGGGATCCTGTGTAAACACGTAGATGATATACTGTGGCACTACGTGCAGTGGCACTGCGAGGACATCTCCGAAATTTTTCACAGCGAGCATGTTTTGAATTTAGTTTACCGTGGAAATGCTGCTTTTTCCGTTGCTCAGACTCCTGTCAGTAAAGTTTACGTAGCGAGGAACCCGATCCCACCGCCATCGATACAAAATGTTTGGAAGAACTTCTAAAAAGGAGGAGTGTGCAGAAGTGGGCACTGGGTGAGTTAAAGGACACTGTCCGAGATGAATGATAGTCGGGTGCAGCCGAGTTCCATTTTAGAGTTGCGGCTTGAAGCCGAACCCCGTTCTCCTGTTGCCACGGCAGCTGGGTCCTATCTAACTCATGGGAAAGCTTCCGTCACGTCTGCGGGAGAACGTGCTTCGGCTCCCTGGTGGACCTAGTTTACGGTGCACATCAGCGGGGCCATCTGAACTAGCTTTAACGTAACAGCATACATACACTGTTTGAGCGTGGGAGTGAAGAAGGAAAGCATCATTCTTGCAACGTATTCCTTCTCATCTTCTCTCCGCGATTTCAACTCCCTCAAACAACCACACCGAGTTTAACGTGACGATCGTCCTGCACCCGCGCCAAATAGATGTATAAGTGTATATCTGCTGCAGGCACTTTAAAAAAATCTGAGTGCTGAGGGTTTCAAACACGTGCTGACGATGCGCTCTCGTGTTGTGCTGTACAGGTTCTGCGTGGCATGAGCTTCACCGTTCGACCGGGACAGACAGTGGCACTAGTGGGCAGCTCTGGCTGCGGCAAGTCCACCTGTGTTCAGCTGATACAGAGGTTTTATGACCCGCTGCAAGGACAGGTTTGTGGAAACTGTAAAGTGAGGTGTGACACACAGTGATCCATTTTGTGAGATTTGCTTGCCGTTTTGAATGGAGCACACTGACATCTGGTCCAAGCAAGACGATTACAGCCGTGATAATTGTCGGTGATGTGGATAATGCCAAAGAACTAAACATACGGAGCCGGGAGACCCATACAATTCGCATGGTTTGATCCATGCAATAGAAAATATACATTTCATAGAATGTGACAGGCTGAGTTTCACTATTTAACGTATGTGCATTAATTGTCCTGAACAACATCGCTCGAAAGTACGCCTGCGGTGAATCTGGCTTTATCTGGGAATTTTAATTAATGATATGAATTACCGATGTCTTACGGTCTTGGCGGTTTGCGATTTTATGGTTTACTGATCACATCAGTTCATTGATATTGGCCATAATAAACCGGGCTTAAGGCAGGCATGGTTATCATTCCCCTATCTCCATCCCGGCTTTCTGCCAAATGACCTTTTATTTGATATTGGTTTCGGACATGGCAATGACGGCCGGTCTCCGGTCCCCCACTGGCGGACCCAGAGATAAGACAGCTTTAGGATATATTAGTTAGCTGTAGCCAGTACTTTCTCTTATACCATGCAGCTGGCTTCACATGCTCGTCCGCACTGGCTGCTGAAGTCTGACACGAATATGGAAAATGAGACGGCTGAGGCGGGCTGGGTCAGGTCGGACCGATCAAGTTAAAATCATTCTCGATGTTCGAGCACGGTGCATTCGACCTGCAGCATCGCTCGTGAGGGACCCGTGATCTAAATGTTCTGGTCACATCCAACTGCAGCAGCTCGCGCAAAACTTGAAGCGGTTGCCCGTTTGCGGTCAGGTGTTGTTGGACGGACGGAGCTTGAGCGAGCTGAACGTCTCCTGGCTGAGGCAGCAGATCGGCGTCGTCTCCCAGGAGCCCGTTCTCTTCGGTACCACGATTGCCGAGAACATTCGATACGGCGCACCCCACTGCACCATGCGGGACATTGAGCAGGTGGGTACACCCATCTTGATATAAAAAATAAGGCCTGTAACTCCTGTTTTGGGGCATTATGAGTTAAAAGTTCTCCTGTTTAGTACGCGACCTTTAACATAACAGAAGGTATCGGTTAAACGACGTTGAAATCAATCAAAAAATATATTGAGCACGGCCAATGTAATCGTTGTTTAACCAGTACTTATGGCACATTCCAGGTCGCTTACTAGCCATTGAAACTTTCAACTCGTAATGCTGAATATACTCATCGCCGCATGCACCGGCCGGCAATATGTTCACGAGATACGGATCAGTTCAGAACCGAGGATGACCGGCTTTGGTACTACTCCGTAAATGTGCTACCGTCGCCTGTTTTTCAACGGTCGTTTTTGTGGTACGTTGTCAAGCGCAACACTGGCCGCCGTCTGACGTCACTGTTGGGTCGTAGGCGGCGAAGGAGGCGAACGCCTTCGATTTTATCCAGGACCTGCCACAAAAGTTCGACACCATGGTGGGCCAGAAGGGAGCGCAGCTGAGCGGCGGTCAGAAGCAGCGGATCGCTATCGCTCGCGCCCTGGTCCGTAACCCGAAGGTGTTCCTGCTGGATGAGGCCACGTCGGCGTTGGACCTCCAAAGCGAGGCGCTCGTGCAGTCGGCCCTGGACCGGGTACGACGCACTGCGACCGCAATATCTCCATGCATAATCTATTTTGTAGGGATGGCAAACGAACTGAGCAATATTAGCATGCCCTCAACAGATGCAATAACTGTGTGGACTGTCGTCGTGCTGGAATTCGGACCCACAACTCAAGGGCAGCGACTTTGATGCAGGGCCTTTTCAGGCTTCAATGGCACCTGACGACGGTCCGAGGGTTAACTGATCGAAACGTCGCTTACCAACGCATGAGACAGGGATGATGGTCCCAATAACCTTCCATTCGTGATACCAATACCTCGTTTCCAATCCTTCCATAAAAATATAACCTCCCATTTTCTAAAAACATAAGTACTGGGTGGCCAACTAGCCGTTTTCTGTCATCCTCCCACGATTGGTGCTGACAGCAGTTGGTAGTTGCGTGTGGTGTCCGTTCCGGCCTCGTCAAATGGTAGGGGCACTTCGTTTATCTGTTGCCTGTAGCGCCGGTCTGCTGCGGGCTGTGAACGCGCCGCTAACATTCTGCTGTCTGCGCAGGCGCGCTCCGGCCGGACCACCATCGTTGTGGCCTCACCGCCTCTCGACGGTGAGGACGGCTGACCTCATCTGCACCCTGAAGGACGGCAAGGTAGTCGAGATGGGCTCCCACGAGCAGCTGATGCAGCAGCGGGCGTCTATTATGATCTGGTTACCAGGCAGACCGGCATCAAAGCGGACAACGACGACGAGGAAGGGGATGAGCCCGGGGAGGAAATGGGTATGACGAGGCCCGCTTCTGTGCGGTCTTAGTTTGACAAATTTGTCTGCTGGGAACAGAGCGGAGTGTGTCACCTCCCGTAGAAAATAATACACGGCAGGGAGTGTAGTTTCTTAGTCAGTTGACATGGTACCAGCAACCTCCATCTCCCCTCCCCTGAATTGGGGCTCCAGACCGTCCAAGCCTTGAGAAGAAAATAGTCCTGAATATGGGGAGAAGCCCTTTTGTTGTCGTCTTTTGGGGGGGGGGGGTAAGTTGCGTTATTTTTCACTGCTCAGTTTCCCCCTTTCAACTCTTGCGAAACTACGCCCGTACTGCACGGGTAAGGATCTCTGACACGGATCACGTAAGAGATCAGCCATGGGGTAATCATACTCGACTTCACTGGATTGTGATTTAGTTGCTCATGTCTTTACATCTTGATAACCCATTACTTTGGGACGGGAATGCTTGTGGCATGCTTGCATGTTGTATGCTTGTCTGTATGTCTGAGGTTAGTGAAAGGAATGTCAGTATTTGTGTAGTCACCAACTGTGTGGCCGTTTGTCGCCCCGTATCAGTTCGGACCTGGTCCTGTGCACCTTGCGCTCCTGATGCGCCTGGTCCACGTGATCCTGCCGTAATTCGGCGCCGGTAACTCACCAGCCGGTGTGTTGCCAGTGGGTGACCTGCAGTCGGCGCGCCAGCCGTCCGCTGCCGGCCGCGTCAGGCTGCGGACCATGTCGTCTTCGGCATCGGACCACACAGACGGCGTCGCCGACAGTGTGGAGATCAACGGAGCGGCGCTGGCCTTCCGTCCCGCCAGCGGCAAGGGCAGGCACGAATCGCTGACTGCGGTACGCATACGAACTCACACGACGGTACAGCGTACTGTTCGGATTCACGACATGCTTTTAATTCCCGTTTTGCGGTGGCTTGGTACCCATTTTTGTTCGGTGCGGTGCACATCTTGTGTATGTGCGGTGCCGTCGCTAGGAGAACGACTCAAACTGTTGTCTTCTTATCGGTGTAATTTGCCGACAGCTTATCTTCATTGGATGGGCGCGTTTGACCTTGAGAGGACTCCTGCTGGTCCCCAGGTGTTGCCACCTGCCCTCTGGGATGTTGTGTGCCCTCCGTCTTACCACAGCTCGGACTGGCGAGAGCATTTTAATAGGTTAACATGCTAGTCAATAACGCCTGAGTCCAGGGCACGAATTTTCCCCAGACATTGGTTTCCACCATCCGAGACCAGGTGACGCCCCTGTGTGCGTCTTCCATTGCCTATTTGCTTTACCTGATACGGGCGATGCTTTCAGGCCACCGCCGTGTTTTAGGACCCAGATAAGCGGGATGCTGATAACCTTGATGTCGCGTCTCGATTGCAGGCGTATGGCTCCTACATGTAGCATGTCCACGTGCTCTGCTCCGTGATTCCCCTATGTCACGACAACGTCCGTGGCCAGCAGCTTGTGTCACCACCGCTGTCGTCAATGTAACGCGTTCCGTTTCCCAATCCTGTTCTGTCATGATAGCGTCTCTGACCGACACCGCGTGTCACCCCCGCAGCTGTCAGATGACGAGGAGGACAAGCTGGCGCCTGTGTCTGGCTGGCGTATCCTGACTCTGAACTCCAAGGAATGGCCGTACCTGCTGCTAGGAGTGCTGGGCGCCGCCATCATGGGCGCCTCGCTGCCCGGATACGCCATCGTGTTCGGATCCGTGCTGGGAGTAAGTGCAGGGGTGCCAGGCGACGTGCCCGGCTCGGCAATGTGGAACATGGGATAAGAGCGGGCATGACAGATACGGGGCCAAGTTTTAGTATAAAGGTAGCAGTTGTGACTGGTCCGTTTTCATGCCATTTGCGGAAACCTGTTACTTTGAACTGCTTGCTAAAAAGGCAGGGAAGGATGTTTCTATAAGCGAGATTCGGTATGGTATAACTGCTCGATGCATTTTAAAGTGATAACTTAAATTTGAACGAAACCTCTGGTCAGGAGATTCGTTTTACAAAGTGTCTGACGGCCAAAAAAAAACGAACTTTATGGGTTTGATGATTCTGCTCTGATGGCAGATGTGCAGAATTATAAAAATATTAGGTGCGCAGAATGCAGACTTTCAAGACTATTCAGGCATGCATAACGCCATTCTGCATTCTGCAACGTCATTCTGCCATATACAATACAATTTATTTAGTAATCATGTCCCTTGATTGCCTTATGCAACGTGTGCATGACGTTAGGGTGCCCTCAAACCAGCTGTGCGAAATTGGTACCCTTGCAATCACATGCAGTACCTCAAATCCGCCGAGAGATGGCAGTGCGATGCTGGAAGTGTTCGCTATGTTAAGCATCATTATGTGGTCGTGTTTTGACCCTTTTTTCTTGGTGCTCTTTCATATTTGCCCGTGAGTTTAATAAGCTTACTTGCATTCACACCCTTTATTATAGCGCTATTTTTGAGCTATCCGATCACAAGTCTTACTTCCGCAATAACTAGCAAGTGTGTTCAACTTCCGTTCAAAATTCTGCACAAGCCGTGCGGTTCCTTCTCGGGTCGTGGTGGGAATTCAGTGGTGCAGGGATGCGGACAGTATTGATGTATTACGAAAGTAACATTCGTGGTCGGAAAGGTCACGATTAGCGCTGTGTCCGGGCGTGGCAATGAAAACAGTGTTCTCAATTCGCGATTGATACGCAAGAGCACCGCGGGTAAGTGCCGGGGCATGAACACGACGATGTTTAGGCCAGAAAACATCAGTTCGGCACCGCACTTACCTTCTCCCTGTGAATTTGCAATGCTGATAGCGATTACAAGGATGTCAATTTCGTACGGATAGGTTGGCAGCACCGCAATATCTTACAAACATTTCACTACACGATCAGTGATGTAGTGTGGGATTATAGCTACTACATAGAGAAGCTATGTTGTCTTTTACAGTCTGTTCCACTTAAAAGTGTGACAATAGTTACAAGCGAGCTTATTTCATCATTTATGATGTTTGCTTCGATATTCTCAACTGTGGAGCATGCTGTTTAATGAAGGAGTGTTGATAACACAAGCACTGTATCGGCTCCATCCTAGTTTCTAGTACATTAGTAAACGATGAAATTGTGCTCATTGACACGCATCCTAACCATTCCAATAGTAACGCTGGCAGCTTTTGACAAACCAGTCCCTTTGTTTTCTTTTCAGAACCTGGCTGTTGAGGATCCGGATAAAGCAATGAGTAACGCCCGTCTCTATAGCCTACTATTCATTGCGGTTGGCGTTGTTTCCTTCATCGCATCTTTCTGTCAGGTAATCCTTTGGGTTCCATAGACTGTACGGCCTAGCTTTGGTACGTACCTGAACGTCACAGATTGTTCCTTTTCTTGAAATCTGGCTTATATTGGTGTGGTTGGTTTTCAAATTCCCAGAGGATTTGGTTTTCCCAGATTTTAGAGAGTCCATCTGCTGCCTGATATCTGACAGTTATATTGATGCTAGTGTCTGATTTGTAAGCTAAGAGAATGTCTTTATCAAATATCAAACGTTTCAGGTTTTCATGTTCGGCATAGCCGGGGAGCGGCTTACGACGCGCGTGCGGAAGCTGACGTTTGCAGCACTGCTGCGGCAGGAGGTCTCGTTCTTTGATAAAGCGAAAAATACAGTGGGAGCGCTGTGCGCCAGATTATCCGGCGACGCCTCAAGCCTCCAGGGGGTGAGTGCAGGGAATTCCCTGCCTATGTGTCCACTCCATTGCTGAGTTTGCCACGGCGTTGTTGCTGACTAGATGGTGATAGAAGAACGTAGCGCAAGTGCGTAGCTCAACAGCCTTTTATCGGTATGTAGCAGCGAAGTTGCATATTATTTGTGACTGCTTCAAGCCCCAGCTCACCATTCGCCGCTGGGATTTTTCCAGGCCACCGGCACGCGGCTGGGCAACATAACACAGGCGCTGTTTACGGTGCTGCTGGGCATGGTGCTGGCGTTCGTGGTGAACTGGAAGATCGCGCTGGCTACGGTGCCGTTCGTGCCGCTCTGTGCGCTGGCCACGTACGTGGAGAGCCGCCAGGCACAGGGCAACATAGTGAAAGATCAGTCGGACCAGGAGAGCGGCAACCAGGTAACTGGGCGCGGCTGGGCAACACGGCCGGATGACCAGAGCTCAGGCACTGCATAGCTTGGTTAGCAGTGGACAGGGTGGAGATGGCCCCCAGCGGAACGGAGTGCCACGATGGAATATTGAAACAGCCTTTTGCTCCCCTCTGAGGTGTGTGTGCATGCTAGTGATGTCATTCGGACGCACTTTTTTCAACCGAAACCCTCTGTAGACCAAATCTATTTTCAGTTGATCATTGGTCAAATCTGCGGCCGTTTAGAATATTTTGAAATGAAAGTTTGTAAAAGTGCGGAGAAAAAATGTTAAAATGTTAATTTGAAGTTTGTTCAAGGCGTTGTGAGCCAATCACCTTATAACTTCGTGTGCTTATATAGAACTTACGTAGAACGCTTAGCAGTCTTCCAACTGCATCCAGCCGGTCATGTGACCTAAGTATATATTTTGAACACGTGGCTGATGGCTCACAGTGGTCAAAAATAAAGCTGCATGGTGTGGCACATCGCTGCAGATTAATGTCAGAGCTTAGCAGAAGTCATGTGAATAAACAACCTCAGCATTGTAGGAGCGCGACTGATGTCGACATGGTACTGTGCGTGAGAGATGTATGGGGTCGAAAATACTGCAAAAGTCAATCTAGTCTCAACTCAAGTCCCAAAGGAACTGAATTTTGCTCAGCATTCCTATTGCAGAATAAAATCTGAAGCACTGACCCTCGCCCTGATAAGTGGATTGATGACCCCTCTAAGATTTTCTAAAGGTTTCTCTTCGATATATCCGACTTGCCCCCCAAGTTTTTGGTCGCCTCCCCCCCAAGCTTTCGGCGCGTGGAACCGGCTGCTTGCGGCGGCCGTCCGCGCCCCCTCGCGCCAAGCATTCTTGACTTTTAAATTGCTGACCCATTGACTGAGCTGTGTGTTCATGCGTATGTGTGTATCTCTGTACTGTGTATGTATTTTTTCTCGTACGACTAGGTGCAGACCAACCACCACGTGGACGTGCCTTAAATAAAGTAACTGTAACTGTAACTTTCGTAGATCCGGATCTTAAGTTTGTCATATGTTATCCAGGAAGCAGGGGATATTACATGGTACTTGCATCTTACGTTTCTAAATCCTGTGGCAAAATCGGTGAAATGTTGCCTGCTACCTATAAAATCAAGGCCATGTCATATTTTCCTTTGCCAAATTTCATAATAATGAGCTAAACGTACCTGACCTCGCATTCACTACTTGAACTATTGTAAGCATGCTATTGCCGATGCTTTATAAAATCAACAGCAGTAGTGGCAAGGTCGTCTTGTCTTATATGCGGATTGCACGTCACGAAATGTGAGCTCCCAAGAATTGCATGAGTGACTATTTGCAGTTTGAAACGGGTAAATATTTCTCTTTTTTGTTTTTTGAGCGACATTTAATGTAAATTTGCTGTTTTTAAGATGCAATCTTATGAAGATTATTTCTTCATGATTTTTTTTTTAGCGCCATATTAGCTTTCTTTTTGTGATGGGAGCACGCACAGGCTGTACGGCACATACACTGTATGTATATGTGTATATATTTATGTGTATATAGATATGTAGATATATATGCATGTGTGTACGTATATATACATACATGTATGTATATATAGATATGTAGATATATATGCATGTGTGTACGTATATATACATACATATATGTATATATATATATATATATATCGGGTTTTCAAAATTTTTATACACACGTCTTCACAGTCGAGCACTGGTAACGGTGGTTAAGTGAATGGTTAAAAATGTGTCGTTTTACCGGGCATGGATGTTTGGCTTTAAAAATTGACCTGCTAACGTTTAATTACTTTTCATCAAAATAAAGTTTTGCATGAGCCTACAAATTTGGGCGATCCGTCGGTGGAGACGGTCCAAGCACGGCTGATGGGCGTTTTGGCGGTGGAACGACTTGGCAGCGTGGTGCGTTTCATCTGAGATTTTAGCACGGTCTCGGGGTGAAATGGCAAGGCTGCCAATGGGCGGCGCTAGCGCAAATGTGCAATGGGCGCCGCCATATGCACGGGAGCATCAGCTAATCTCAGGTCACGTAATGATAGATCCGCAAGGCTGGGGCGCTATGAAGTGTTCAGATGAAACGATTTAACAGCGCTGGTTGGTTGCGACTTCACGACCAAGTTTGTGGCTTTTCCTGTCTTCTTACCAGTGATTTTGGTGTGTTATTTGTCACGAATGTGTATTTTTCAGATCGCTGTGGAGGCAATCTCAAACATTCGAACTGTTGCCAGTCTTGGTCTGGAAGAAATGTTTGCTGATCAGTACGAAAAACGCCTGCTGAGTACTCATCGCAAGTACATCAAGAAGGCTTTCCTCAGAGGTACCCAGTGCATACATTAAAAACAATATTCGCTTCTTGATTAGTATTCACGAATAACGAAATCTGGGGACATAGAAAATTGCCGTAAGTGTTGCCATATTGCTCTTAGGTTTGCCTTGAAATTACAAAATTTCACAATTTCCGCGACGAGTTGGGTCATATCATAAACATGTTGTTGAAGCACCCCAATGCCATGCCTGTATTCTTGGTCGTATTGGGTCGTGAAAAAATGAACAATACTTGATCGTGTATTACAAACCAACAATCATCGTAATGATAATGGATTTCGGTTTTACTCGCAAGGGCTCAGCATATTTTCAGCATATTGCTTTTTCAATTATCATACTTATGGCATTATTCAGTGACAAAAACATGTGATGAGACGGGCAAGTCAAATGAAACGGAGCTCACATATTGTTATAAGGACACGTTAAGATGTTTAAAGGACGGTGTCTCGTTTAGAGATGGTATGTATGTCGTTCCGCTGTTATATCTCGCCGCAGTTCGAAGGACGGCCGAATGGGCCGCTGTGGCTTCGGGAAATCCGTGCGCATCCCAGCTGTTTTCTGTTGCAGGTCTGGTGTTTGGAGCGGCCCAGTGTGTACCCACATTGGCGTACGCAGCTGTCTTCGGCATTGGGAAGCCCATGGTTCTCGACGGGTCCCTGCCTTACGCTAAGCTGTTCATGTGAGTGTCCGTGCGTCTCAGGTGGTGGGTTTAACGCGTGCCTGTCTTGTGATGGCCGGGCCTTTATTTGTTGGTAGGTGAATGTATAAACTTCGGAAGTCCATGCTGTGAGGGAATAGAAATCAGGCATAGTGAATACCCAACCTTTTTTGTAAACAAACTGGTTGCGCACCGGGTGGGTACGCAATGTAGGTAGCCTGCCATGGGTAGGTACAAGGTAGGCAGAAGTGGCACTTTGGCTCTTGTTTCGATAAAGACATGCTGCCGAAATATCAACCAATCTATTTCTCCATTCTCCTGGTTTTCTCCAAGGCGTAATACTATCGGTACTGTTTTATCTATATGAATGATGCTCCTCGCGAATGCCCTGAACAGCTTGCGTAATTGTGGCACTATTTTGCTCCCATGGGTTATTTTGCGTAATCTGTCGGTGACATCGCCTGAAAGAATCTTTCCAGGTTTCGAGCCGAGGCTGTTGGCTGGTGTCCACGGACCTCATCGCTTGCCATATGGTCTGCGTTGAGGTGACCCTTACGCCGCGCAGGGTGACCGAGAGCCTCATCTACGGCACGATGGTGGTGGGAGCGGCGGTCGCCTTCTCACCCGACATGAACAAGGCGTTCGTCGCCGCCAAGCGAATCTTCGCCCTGCTGGAGAGAAAGCCGGCCATCGACAGTTCGCACGCTGCAGGACTGAAGCTGGTACTGATCGAAAGCTGTGATAGTGTTGTCACCATGACAGGTTGTTCGGTTCATCGTTGTGTTCAGTTGCGAGGCATACGTATTCAGGTAGTCGTGTAGTATAGGTTTCCGTTTTTATCCAGCAGAAAAGATGACGACCGCGTGAATGGTGGCAATGTATTGGAATGTGTAGTGCGTGGTATGCCGTTCAGTGGGCGATGAATAATATGGACACGTGCTGTCTAACTCGAAGTCATGCTTTTCAGCCGAAGGTCACTGGCACGATTAGCCTGCAACGGGTTAGGTTCCGTTACCCGACGCGACCGGAGGTCACCGTTCTGCGTGACCTTAGTTTGGAGATCAGTCCAGGTCAGCAGGTGGCTCTGGTCGGCTCCTCCGGCTGCGGCAAGTCCACCTGTATCCAGCTGCTGGAGAGGTTCTACGACCCTGAGGGAGGCGATGTGGTGAGATACGCAGACAGCTGCATGGGACTAGTCAAAGATCTTCGACGATTGTGAATGTTACGAAGTCGGATATCTTTTGCAGATCCGTCAATATGCGTATTATGACATGCTGTGTTCATCAGCACTTACGATGTTAGGAAATGGCGTGACCATTGCTCCTTGAAGGGCTCTGCTATTGGTAAGTCTCAGACCACATCCTCATTGCCTGACTTAGTGTGAGGACAGCGCAGTGGTGGCAATGCAGCACAGCTTTGGCAATGTCCTTCTGTCCGTCGATGCCGGCGTCAAGCTCTGTGTCGTGGCCCGCAGACGGTGGACGGCCAGAGCGTGTCTGCTCTTAACCTGAGCTGGCTCCGCTCCAACATCGGTATCGTCTCGCAAGAGCCCGTGCTGTTCGACAAGACCATCCGCGAAAACATAGCGTACGGCGACAACAGGTCAGTCTCGCTCTTGGTGGACCGGTGCGGATGGGACCGGTGTGGACCGGTGCGGATGGGACCGGTGTGGACCGGTGCGGACGTCGCAGCGTTCCGCTTGTCACTCACATAACCTGTTTTCGTCGCGCTTGGTAATGCATTCCATAGTTTGGGGTGACTATAAACCCACCCTGTTTTGCTCACGCGCTGACATTTTCCAAACATCGACTTGTCACGTGTCAAATCTTCACCAAGTTTCAGCAACGTCAAAATGACTTATGATCAAAAACGCGTATTTGTGATTGACTTGTTCAGTGAAAGGACCGTCTCACTGCAGTGACAGCACTAAGTCGAAGGGCCACGCCACGTTTGCCCATGAAATTTGAAGATGTTTTCTCCAAAGATTATGCAACTTCCGTAGGGTGGAAGCGATGATCGTGCCCGCGGTATTATCGTACAGGTTTCATAGCTTCAACAGGAAGACGAATACGTACCTCGTATACCAACATCTCTGCACCTAGATTTTAGGACCTGGATGTTTTATACTACCGTGCTGTCAGCGAATGGAATTTTTTGTTGACCCTACTGGAGCGTGTTTGACAGTTACTCATTTCGAGTCGTTTTTTAAATGATGTTCGGAATGACTGTCGTGTGCAAACAACTGTACCTACCTGATGGTCATTGACCATTTATCTTTATCGGTCATTTGGTCATTGGTCATCATCGATCAAGTGGTCATTGGTCATTATCGGTCATATGGTCATAAGAGCGTCGGTACATCGGATTGTGAAATGACGTGTGCAAGACGAACCTTTTTTGTGTGCGCGTCGACAGAACGCCACATAAAACGCTTTAGTTGGATCGGTGCTTATTTCAATACGTTCGACTATACTATACGTTCGACTATACAGCTAACGCCGCTTTGCATGGCGAAGTGCTCAGGAGCTTAAAGATCCTTGAAAAAACCGTATAGTCCGTTTTTCCATTTGGAGGTTTTTGTCCAGCAATGACATTTCCAGCGGTATGAGATGAAGATGACATGAGATGTTTTGCGTGCATCACTGTCCATTTCAATATATGCAACCGCGTAGACACAGTGCGCTCCCGTATTATTTCATGGTGAGGTGTTCAATGGCCATGTTGTGGAAACGGGGGATGTAGGATAAAGCGAGAATGAGGAAAAAGTGTAGATGCGTTGCGCCATACTGCTTTTTCTTTCCGTGTGGCCCGACACCGTCGTTACGCTGCTGCAGCCGAGAGGTGCCGATGGAGGAGGTCATGGCAGCCGCCCGGGACGCCAACATACACAGCTTCGTGACCAGCCTTCCCGCCGGCTACGAGACTCAGCTGGGCAACAGCAGCAGCACACAGCTCAGTGGCGGCCAGAAGCAGCGCATCGCCATTGCGCGCGCCCTCGTTCGGCGACCGGCCATACTACTGCTCGACGAAGCGACATCTGCGCTTGACGCGGAGAGTGAGAAGTGCGTGCAGGAGGCGTTAGAGCACGCGGCCAGTGGCCGAACGTGTCTGGTGATAGCCCACAGGCTGTCGACGATTCAAGGCGCTGACAAGATAGCTGTGATTCACCACGGGAGGGTAGTGGAACAGGGAACGCACCAGGAGCTGTTGACGAAAAAGGGCATGTATTATAAACTGTATAAGACGATGGCGTAGCTTTGCGTTGTTCCCTATTCTCGATTTTCGAATCAAGGTGTTGTCGAATTCAGCTCTCCCGTCGTGTTGCTGTCATGTGTTGATTTTTGCACGCATCCCGACACCAAGCTTAGAACAGCCATGTACCGGAGAGCACGCACAGTCCTGCCTGCTGTGCAACGGAGCTCAGCGTAGAGGACGTTGTGGGTTCTGCATTCGTGTCTGTATGGCTGCAGTATCGTCTCTGTTCATGTCTTAGCATATGTTGTCAAATGCCATAACTGCACAGTGGTCGGGGCTGGCCGAGGGGGCCGCAATTCAACAAGACAGGACTGAATTGCCATGATGCGTCGTCCGACCAGCGTACGTTGTTAGTCTATTATGATCTTAGTGTAGCGTTCTGCGTTGCTGCGCGCCTCGCGGAAGCGGAGTTTTTCTTCAGCAGCTTCTGGCGGGGAGCGGCGTTGAACCTGCCCTGCTCTCAGCCCAGCTGAGCACAAGCACTGACTCACAGCTTACAGCGCGATGTCTCCCGAGTGTGTTGTCCCGAGTCTGAAGTTTATTGTGCTGGCGACAGGGTCACCCCATTTCTCAATGTTCCTCCCATCCTCAGCTCCAAACAAGCCGAGGCGCTTGTAACGGAGCTCAAATGAAGCGGACGTGATGGAAGATTGCCTTACTGGCGCGAGGAATTGTGTCACAGAGCAATACCGCTCGTTCGTATCTTGCTCTGTCCTTTGTCGTGCCTTAGCTAAGTGATCCTAGTGTAATATCTACCGTGTCGGGGTTTGTTCCTGCAAAGTGGTCCATCTGTCTGTAGTAGTGTTTAACGGTCTCGTGTTGCACATGATTTTGACGTCCAATATATTTCAATCATGAAAGCCATCTGAAGTGTCTCGTGAATCAGACAGAAAGCCCGAAGGGATGAACTATAGAGTGTGGCTATTTCCAGAGGTTGGGGGGTAGAAAACGCGCCCAACATCTTCACTATCCAGAATCACGAATGGACGGGTTTTAAAAAGGATGAGACGGTCATTGTGAAGGCATCGGGCAAATACAAGAACCTGATGCTTATGGACAGGGTAGAATTCGCCCTCAAGGCTTGAAATACCAGCACCAATAAAAAGCAGAAAAAAACCCACTTCGTAGCTAGAAGGAAGGACTCATGAAAGCTTATGAAAACCACCCGGAAAGACAAGAATTATGAGAATCACCAAACTCGTCTCCTTTCACAACAGCTAAGTGTGACGGACCCAATAAGGCTTACAAACTGGACAGTCCATTAAGCCTCATTGCATCGGTTTGTGGCTGCCAGCCCGATAAGTTTTTTGCTGAGATCTTGAAATATGTCCCGGTGCAGATTCTCGCTTTCGTTGCCGCACGTCTGCCTAATATGGAGTCCTGTTGAGCGTGAATCAAATAAATGCTTTTCACCAAACTTCGCGAGGGCAGCATCATATTCCCCCCAGAAGTTCGTAACCTGTATGGAAGAATGCCTATTCAGGGGGCTATTGATGCGGTAATAAGCTTATTTCAGGAATCTTCCCCATTTGAGGATGTTGAAGCAACCACAATGTATGATGAAATAAGCTAACTTATAGCTATTAATGCACTTTGAAGTGGAATAGGTTGCTTTAGACGACATAAGTTCCTTACTTAGTAAAGATGTTTCTCAACACGTCATTGTTTGATTGCGTTATCGTACCTTGCACAGCATTGATTGAGAGCCATACTGACGTCCGTTTTATCTGGACATCATGATCACAACGCCAGGTATGAGCGATTCGACAATTATGCCTTTTGGCCGGGATTACCGCATGACTAGTGGAATGGCGGGATTTTCATGACGTTATTTTGGCATCATGGATGCCTGGGTAATATTTAAATAGTCTCCCCGAAATAGCCTGCACATTTTTAAGGGAATTTAGTTCAGAAACTAGAGGAGTTTAGTTCTTAAAGGGAGTGTTCACAGTTATGTGGGGGTTTGAACTGAACCAGCCATCTTGAAGGCCTTTCGGTGCTGTTCACAATCCTGCCCTTCTTAATATCTAAGCTCCTCTAGTTTCTGATCTACACGCCCGCAAAAATGGGGAGGGGTATATCGGGGAGATCATCCCAAATTCACTTGGCATTCATGACGTCATGATAATGTCATTCAAACCCTGCTATTCTATATACCATGCGGTGACCAAGGCTAAGAAAAATACAATTGTCGAGACGTTCACATCTGACGTTCGCAAACAAAATTCAAATACAACGACCGTCAATTGGCTTTCAATCAGTGTTGTGCAGGGTACGATGACGTAATCAAACCTTGACGCGTTGAGGAGCATATCGACTAAACAGACAACTGTGCCGTCTGGAGCAGTCTTTCCACTTAAAAATTATTCCAGTAGTTACAAGTGAGCTTGTTTTGATCATATCTGATGCTCGCCTCAATATCTTCGAATGTAAAGCATTCCCAAAGAGAAGGCCCTGCCTCGCCTTGTTCGTTTAGAAGGGTAGGACTGTGAACTGCACCGAATTATCTTCAAGACGGCCATTTCAGTTCGAAACCCCATACAAATATGGAACACTTCCTTTAAAGATTAACCTGTCTGGCCCTGCGGTCAGTGACATCCGCACTCTCTTAACGCCGGACTTGTGTTCGATTCATTTTGTTAGCCGGCCCAGGACTGGCTCACAGTTTTTGGAATCTGATTCGGCCCATAACTCAAACCGTTCCACTTTTTTCGACTCACTTCAGACTAGTTGCTTGTATTGAGTCATTTGACTCGCGACCCACACAGCTTGCACATCAATGACCCGATTTAGGTCTGGCTCGTTTATATATATACACACACACGCACACATACATACATATATATATATATATATATATATATGTGTATATATATATATATATATATATATATATATATATATAACATGGGAAATAGCATGAGAAATAGGTACAAATGATCCAGTTTGAGCGTACAAAATACATTGCAGCAAACAATACATTTCCTGTGACCTGCTATCAACCAGCTCTCAAGTCTTACCTTTAAGGCTAGCATATTCTGCCTGGTACCTACGACCCAGGCCCAATAGTTCTATAGCTTGCAATGTGGACGAGGTTACGCTTAAGCTGGCATATGGCAGTTTGCACCTGTCAAGTGCAAGCCACATGCTACCAGGTGTATGTAATCACATTTCCATTAGCCAGTACATTCAGATGTAGGCTAATCATGCTCTTATTCTGAATTTTCCTTGAGGTAGATTTGAAGAACATACAGTCTTTCTTGCTAGCATCCAGTGGGAAGATATTCTAACTGGTCTCACGGAACATCGGATGTGGAAGGTGTTCAAAGATAGTTTAAAAGGATAGAAAAGGTTTGTTCCCTGAAGGAAAATGCGACAAAATATTTGTAGGAAGCTCCCATGACTGACGCAGACAGTGCGCAGTTTGATGGCGGTGAAGGGGGCATATGATTGGCAACAAGTGCAGGACACGGAAAGCAACAAGACAGTCTATAGGATTTCAACAAAAAAAGCGTAAGCAAGGAATCAGGGCAGCCAAAAGATTGTCAGAAATACGGCTAGCAGACATTTGCTTTGGAGACGTTAAAAATTATGGTTATTACGGATTGAAATCTAGGGGATCCTCTGCCGGCCCCCTCGAGGAAGATGGACAGCCGTTAGTGGAGGACCTGGACATTGTAGATGCTTTTCGTAGGCAGTTGTCTTCAGCTTTTACAAAGGAGACTGTGTGCGATCTCCCTGAAGGTAGGCAAAATCTGAATGAAAGCAGTTTTTTGGGGGAGGGGCTGCTAGGAGCAAAGCACCTCGGATGCTGGGACTTGTTAACAGGAATGTCCATTACAAGAGTAGGGATGTTTTCAAAACGTTTTACATAGCATGCGTCAAACCACACCTAGAGTTTAATGCACAGGTTTGGTCCCAATGTTCTCAAAAAGATATAGATCGACTGGAAAGGGCAACTAGCAGCGAAAAGCAACTAAAATGATTAATGGAACTGGCGACTCAGAATACAAAGATAGACTTAGGGGCTTGAATTTGTATTCACTGCAATATCGTATGCTTAGAGGGGATCTCATCGAGGTATATAAGATTATGAAAGGGATAGATAAGATAAATCTACTTGGAGCGCTTGAAATTAGCCTGGGACATATCAGATCAGAAGATATCAGTGTCATTTAGCAAAAGGTAGGAGTAGAACTATGAAGAGGCAAAGTCATTTAGTCAAAGAGTAATGAGCTACTGGAGTGCGTGGGTAAACGAAGTAGAAGGAAGTCCCTTTTTAGCAACATTCAAGACAACACAACAACATTCGAGACGAGTCTGCTATTTGTGGGTCGGATCACCACTGACCCTGGACTGGAGTCCTCCACTGTCGCCAGACAAGAAGCGGTTAGGTGTCAGCGGGGCGGGCACTATACTGAGTCACCAACAAAGGTCAGCGAGCTAGCATTCACGCAGGCCTCCTCCTCCGCCGTCTCGAGCTCAGTTTGTGTACGGCAGTGCTGACCTGTGAACTTCCGGAGCGCCACCGTCACCGAGCATGATGAATAAACACTCCCATCACCCTCCCCGCTGCAAGGGCTGGGGACGATAAACCTCCAAGAAGGAGCCAAACGTCCCACATATCGCTGTTCTGTAACTGCACGTTCGCTCTCCTGAAAGTACAGGCGGTGTCAGATTAGACAGCGGCTGACACTCCTCGTCCTACAGCGGATCTACGGAATGACACCGTGACAGCGTCCAGGGACAGGGATTCCGTGAGTTCTTAGAAAACCGGACGGTTTACAGCGCAACTGGTCAAAGAAATGAAAAGCTTTTCCTGGGAAGAACGACGGAAAACAGCAGGTAGTGGCCATGTAACCCGGTCATGCGAGAGGGGCGCCGCCGGCTCACAGCAAGCCTGCGAGTCTGACCTGCGACAGGACGCGCGCTCCGTCACCCCTCGGCGTGAGAGCTGGGGTCTGGAGCCCAGGATCCTGGAGACCCACCACCCGAGAGCGATCTCCGCCCCTGCACATGCATCGCACTCCGGGCCAGGGAAGGACAGTTTTAGCCACGTAGCGGAGTTCAAACGATGGGCATGCAGAGACCGAGTGGCTTTAATAGCACGGCACCAAATCACTGGAATTAGTTGGAAGATGAAGGAAATAACAAACCATGCAAAAATCACTGAATCGCAAAAGCCCTAAGCGCGTGCTTTAGGGTGTTTTCAAGCATCTTTGAAGGAGGAAAAGTCTATTTTGTGCGGACGTGTTCCGAAAAAAAATTGTTCGGTTTGGACTCAAAGTAGTGTTTAAGGATTTCGTTGGGATACATGTAGCAACAGTGCATCAGTCTGTCGCAAGAGTTGTATGTTTCTGCGATAGGTCATGGGCCACAGCGTTGTAAAAGGGATGTCGTGGCAAAGAAGATGGGCAGTACAGCAGGGCAGCAATACGCGAAGGGCTGGTGGATCGGATGCTCTGACATCGGTGGATATTGCTCTGACACAGTCTGCGTATGAGACGAGATGCGTGTGTTCACCAACCAACTCATAGCGCAGCACACTGACCAAATGATGCTTGTTTGCTGTGGACGCGCACGGACGGAGATTCACTGCTCAGAGGCGTAATGATAATAAAATAATAATAATGGCCGAGTGGTTAAGCGCGTCGGACTTCCGCATGGGAACTCAGGTTCGAATACCGGCCACGTCATGGCCCCCGAGCATTAATATGGCCAACGTAGTCGCTGGCGTCCCATAACCGGGGCGTGCCGCGCATCGCACTCCTTTCTGAAATAACAGAAACAAGATCCCCTGCTCATGGTAGGGAGCCCATGTCGGAATGTCGGACTGGGCCCTGTCTGGAATACGTAAA